GAGACTCAATTACCTACAAGGGAATACCCATACGACTGTCAGCTGATTTCTCAACAGAAACTTTGCAGGCCAGAAGGGAATGGCAAGAAATATTCAAAGTGATGAATACCAAGAACCTACAACCAAGAGTACTTTATCCAGCAAAGCTATCATTCAGAATTGAAGGTCAGATAAAGAGCTTCACAGATAAGGAAAAGCTAAAGGAGTTCATCACCACTAAACCAGTATTATACGAAATGCTGAAAGGTATCCTTTAAGAAGAGGAAGAAGAAAAAGGTAAAGATACAAATTGTGAACAACAAACATGCATCTATCAACAAGTGAATCTAAGAATCAAGTGAATAAATAATCTGATCTACAGAATGAACTGGTGATTACAATGAATCAGGGACATAGAAAGGGAATGGACTGACTATTCTTGGGGGGGGGGAATGGGAGATGCGGGAAGAGACTGGACAAAAATCGTGCACCTATGGATGAGGACAGTGGGTGGGGAGTAAGGGCGGAGGGTGGGGCGGGAACTGGGAGGAGGGAGTTATGGAGGGGAAAAAAAAAGAGGAACAAATGTAATCTGAACAATAAAGATTAAAAAAAAAAGAAAATATTGCATGGCTTTTAATAGTAATGGTAGGTGCCCTTTCTGACCTCCCCTTTTTTTTCTAATATATTTTGTTGATTTTTTACAGAGCGGAAGGGAGAGGGACAGAGAGTTAGAAACATCGATGAGAGAGAAACATCGATCATCTGCCTCCTGCACACTCCCCACTGGGGATGTGCCCGCAACCAAGGTACATGCCCTTGACCAGAATCGAACCTGGGACCCTTGAGTCCGCAGGTTGATGCTCTATCCACTGAGCCAAACCGGTTAGGGCTCTGACCCCTTTTTTAAAAATTATTATTTTTTATTTTAGAAAGAGAGAAACACAGATGAGAGAGAAACACTGATTGGCTGCTTCCTGCATGCACCCTACTGGGGATCGAGTCCACAATCCGGGCATGTGACCTGACTGGGAATCCAACCATGACCTCCTGGTTCATGGATCAATGCTCAACCACCAAGTCACACCCACTGGGCTTCTGCCCCATTTTTAAAAAAAGAATGATTAAGCCGTAACCGGTTTGGCTCAGTGGATAGAGCGTCGGCCTGCGGACTGAAAAGTCTCAGGTTCGATTCCGGTCAAGGGCATGTACCTTGGTTGCGGGCACATCTCCAGTGGGGAGTGTGCAGGAGGCAGCTGATCAATGTTTCTCTGTCATTGATGTTTCTAACTCTCTATCTCTCTCTCTTCCTCTCTGTAAAAAATCAATAAAATATATTAAAAAAAAAGAATGATTAAAATATAGTTAACATACAATATTATATTAAGTTTCAGGTGTATAATATTTTTTCAATATTTATATACCTAATGAAGTGATCATGATAAACCACCTGACAGGTACAAAGCTATTACCCTATTATTGAGTATACTAAAGGACCGGTGCACAACATTTGTGCACTGGGGGTCAGGGGAGGAGGTTCCTCAGCCCGGCCTGTGCCCTTTAGCCATCTGGAAGCCCTTAAGGGATGTCTGATTGTGGCTTAGGCCCACTCCCGCCACCAACGCTGCCACCAAAGCTGCACTCGCCAGCCGTCAGCCTGGCCTGTTCCTGAGCGGTGCTCCCCCTGTGGGAGCACTGACCACCAGGGGGCAGCTCCTGCATTGAGCATCTTCCCCTGGTGGTCAGTGCGGGTCATAGCAACCAGTCATTCCACCGTTCGGTCTATTTGCATATTACCCTTTTATTATATAGGATTCTCTATGCTGTACATTACATCCCTGTGACTTTTTATTTTATAACTGGAAATCTGTCTCTTATTCACCCATTTTAAAAGAACTAAGTATATGTTTACCATTCTAATTTTGGGTATAAGAATTAACATACTTGTTCTGTTTGAAGGTTTTCACTAACATTTAATTTTTTATCCATTTTAATGTAAGTAAATTTTTTATCAACCCAAACAAGAATACTTATTATATTTTGCATCTAACTTAAAAGACATTCATTTCTAGTAAGTAAAATATTTTCTGAAACACACCTTTTAGCCCTAGCTGATTTGGCTCAGTGGATAGAGTGTCAGCCTGCGGACTGAAGGGTCCCGAGTTCGATTCCAGTCAAGGGCACATGCCCAGGTTGCGGGCTTGATCCCCAGTGGATGTGTGTGTGTCTGTGTGTGTGTGTGTGTGTGCAGGAGACAGCCGATCAGTGATTCTCTCTCATCACTGACGTTTCTCTCTCTCCCTCTCCCTTCCTCTCTGAAATTAAATATATATTTAATGCCCTAGGTGGTTTGGCTCAGTGGATAGAGTGTCAGCCTGTAGACTGAAGGGTCCCAGGTTGCAGACTTGATCCCCAGTGTGGGGAGTGCAGGAGGCAGCTGATCAGTGATTCTCTCTCATCATTAATGTTTCAGTCTTTCTCCCTCTCCCTTCCTCTCTGAAATCAATTAACAATATATTAAAATAAAATAAATATGTACATATTTTTTTTAAAAAGAAACACACCTTTTAAACTTACCATACCTTCCACTCTGCATAAGGCTGAATTATGCTCTTTATAATTCCTTAGTAATGGGAAGAGATTGTGGTCTCTACTCTCTGTCCCCTAACATCCAACACTGTATATAATGCATAATTTAACATTTTCAAAATAAACTACATTTACATGTATACCAGATAAGTTTACTGAAACGAAACTTATTTCCCATTTCCTGCTTTGGTGGTTAGTATCTTAACTACATGCATTATCTCTCTATAGAATACTTCAGTATTTATCCCATATTATTGCATATCCCAAGAGTTTATGCACTAAAATCTATTTTTACAACTGTGGTCCTTTGGTCACTGTGATATTAAATGCTAAACAGGCATACCTATACATTCCTGATAAACAATTCTCTACTGTACATATTTAATCTAAGAGTTCAAATTATCTCTCTGTTGTAAGCCTAATGATGTAACTGATGACTTCCACCTTCATTAGAGATGCCAGAAAATTAAAAGGACTTTAAAATACAATTGCTGTTTTCCAGTTAAAGGAAAATATAAAAACAACCAATGACTGCAAATCACTTTATTCTCTCGTCCTAGACGAATTACATAAGGTATAATCCTAAAGGAAGGATTCTTAAGGCGTGGTTCTGAACCTTAGCTGCACATTAGAATTACTGGCAGCTTTTTAAAATCTTGATGCCTTGCCGAAACCGGTTTGGCTCAGTGGATAGAGCGTCGGCCTGCGGACTGAAAGGTCCCAGATTCGATTCTGGTCAAGGGCATGTACCTGGGTTGCGGGCACATCCCCAGTAGGAGATGTGCAGGAGGCAGCTGATCGATGTTTCTCTCTCATCGATGTTTCTAACTCTCTCTCTCTCTCCCTTCCTCTCTGTGGAAAATCAATAAAATATATTTTTTTAAAAAAAAATCTTGATGCCTAGGCCAAATCCCAAACATATTACATCTCTAGGGGACAGAACAAAAGTATCAGTATATTTTAAAGCTCCCAAAGTTATTAAAATGTACAATTGAGGAAGAGAATCACTTTTTAAAAATATTCTAGAACATAAATATTTAAATATATGCTGCTTTCAAACTAGCACTGCCCTAACCAGTTTGGCTCAGTGGATAGAGTGTCAGCCTTCAGACTGAAGGGCCCCGGGTTCAATTCTGGCCAAGGGCACATGCCTGGGCTGTGGGCTCGATCCCCAGTGGGAGTAGTGCAGGAGGCAGCTATCAAATGCTTCTCTCTCATCAATGTTTCTAGCTCTCTATCCCTTCCCCTTCCTCTCTGTAAAAATCAATAAAAATATATTTAAAAAAAATAAAAATAGCACCATGAGGCCCTGACCAGGTAGCTCAGTTGGTTAGAGAATCGTCCAGATATGCCAAGGTTTGAGGTTTCAGGTTGGGTCCCAGTGTGGGTGCTTACGGGAGGCAACCGATTGATGTTTCTCTCACATCGATGTTTCTCTTTCTCTCTCTCTCTCTCTCTCTCTCTCTCTCTCTCTCTCTCTCTCTCTCTCTCTCTCATCAATAAAACTAAAACTAAAACATGTCCTTTATAAAAAAGAAGAATTCACCAATGATTGCATAAATAAGTGCAACAATATTTTTTAAATAGCACCATGAGAGGGTATAAACTTATTCCAACAACATTCAAAATTTTTAAGACTCTTTTAAAATTGCTTCGTGTCATAACTTAACCAAAAATGGTGTTAACCATGTTAATCACCTGGTAATTATATTTAGCTGTTAATAGAAGTGAAGAACACAAGTTTTTAGAGTCACAAAGACTTGCATACAAGTCCTAGCTATATCATTTATTTTATTTTATTTTTTGTTAATCCTCACCCGAGGATATTTTTCCATTGATTTTTTAGAGACAGTGGAAGGGAGGGGGAGAGACAGAAAGAGAAACATCAATGTGAGAAAGACACATCAAACATGCCCAGACCAGGGCCAGGGATTGAGCCTGCAACCGAGGTACATGCCTTTGACTGGAATCAAACCCAGGACCCTTGAGTCCTCGGGCCAATGCTCTATCAAACAAACCGGCTAGGGCTCTAGCTATACCATTTAATAGTTAGTTCTAAGATTGTGGCTAAGTAGATTAACCTCCCTCAGCTCCCATCCCCTCAACTGTAAAATGGGAGAATTAAAGTAGGAAACAACGTGCGCCACACGCCATCCGGCAGATAGGAGGTGAGGCATAAATGACTGCACTCATCCCCAAGAAGCTAGACCACCATACATGGAGGCCAGGACTATATATTGTTTAAAATTGATTCACATATACAACAAAAGTTTAATAATGTTCTGAACAAGTGAAACAAACTTATTTCAGACAAGAACAAACCCTCAAGCCTTGCTGTGTAGTAAAGAAGTTGGAATAACCAGCATCTGTAGCCAACAGTCCCACAAACTGCATCGCAGGCCGCTGCCGAATGAACAGTTCCACAGCTCCATCGGTGATGCAACTGCCCCCCGAAATATCCAGTGACACGATATTAGGTAGAATATCCTTCTGCTGCAGCAAATGAAAAGCTAGATCTGATTGGACTTGCCTGTGATTAGAAATATCAAGGTGAAACAGACATTTAAGTTCTTTAAGGACTGCGAGAATTTGTGGTTTGGTCATGGTTAGACATTTCATGTAGTGCATTTTGAGAGATCTGAGTCGATCCTTACAGGTAAGGAGTGCAGAGATATCAGTGACCAGAGTATTGGAGATATCCAAGCTTTCCAGTTTTGGTAACTGAGAAACATTAGCTAGGTCTTCATTATGAAAACAAACATTGAAAACACTTAAAACTCGAAGACCAGTGAGCTGACCAAATAGTAGTCTTGAATCTTGACGGATGCTTGTCGAGTCCAATAGCAGACACTGGAGGTTTTGCTGGAGCCAGCTATTGCTGCAGAGACCATGTAGGATGTCTGATATTGGGAGGTCAGGGCCCACCGCAGTAGCGTCCAGTTCAATGAGTTTGTGATGGCAGAAAGCTTTTATGAATGCAGCTGTAGAGATTTTAGCCTTTTTAATATTGACCAGCCTCAGTTTCATCTGGTTGCCTCGGAAAATGCTCGCTGTTCTATCAGTCAGCTTGCCTGCAAAAGAACCAGAACCATTTTGTAATATTAACTAAATCTCGCCCTGACTGGTTTGGCTCGGCCTGCAGACTGAAGGGTCCCAGGTTCGAATCCGGTCAAGGGCATGTACCTTGGTTGCGGGCAAATCCCCAGTAGGGGCTGTGCGGGAGGCAGCTGATCAATGTTTCTCTCTCATTGATGTTTCTGACTTTCTATCCCTCTCCCTTCCTCTCTGTAAAAAAAATCAATAAAATATATTTTAAAAAATAAATAAAATAACTAAATCTCATGCCTTTTCCAGGAGGCATATGGTCAATGAACTATGACAGATGCTAATCACAACAATAATGACTACTCTGGGCCAAACATTGTTCTAAACCCTTTTCTGCCCTGACCAGTTTGGCTCAGTGGCTAGAGCATCGGCCTGTGGACTGAAGAGTCCCAAGTTCGATTCCAGTCAAGGGCATGTACCTTGGTTGCGGGCACATCCCCAGCAGGGGGTGTGCAGGAGGCAGCTGATGGATGTTTCTCTCTCATGGATGTTTCTAACTCTCTATCCCTCTCCCTTCCTCTCTGTAAAAAAATCAATAAAATATATTTAAAAATAAATAAATAAATAAAAATAAAATAAAAAAACAAACCCTTTTCTCAGATTATATAGTTTACTCTTTGCAATGATACTATAAAAACTATTAATATTACCATCTTATAGCTGAGCAAACTGAAGCTTAAAGAATTTAAACAACTTGTTCAAGGTCCAAATAGGTGGAAGATTCAAGAATCAAAGCCAGTTGGACTCTAGAGCGCAGTTTTATCATAACAACCTTGTTCACAGAAAAAAAGAACAAAATAAAATAGCAAGTATAAAATATATGCTATGCAAATAACATTATTAATAATTATTTTTTAACCAAATTAGTGGATAACCTTTAACAAGTCACTTCTCGGGGCCTCATTTTCCTCATCTATAAAATAAGGGGGTTGTACTACATTTCATTTAGAAAAGATTTACTAAGCATCTTCTCTGTGTGAGATCCCATGTTAAATAATGGACACTCAAGGTAATTAGGAATCTGTTATAAGGAATTCAGTCAAGGAATGCACAAAAAGTACATAAATTATTATAATGGTGTATATATGTTATAGTGATTCATACCAAATATTTATACCAAGATGATATTCACTTTGGGTAAATTTTTTAATTGATTTTAGAGGAAGGGAGGGAGAGAGAAACATCGATTTATACATTCATTGGCTGATGCTTGTATGTACCCTGACCAGGGATTGAACCCGTTACCTTGCATATCAGGATAAGCTACCTGGTCAGGGCTTATCTTTGGGTAAAGTTTGAAGACTAAATATCACTTTGTCAGGGGTAAGGTGAAAGCTGGAAAAACATGTCAGAGAAGACATGGAGGCATAGAACAGCAGATTATTTGGAATGACCGGAAAGTAAATCAGCACTACTGGAACACAGTGTCCAAGGGATGGCATAGCTGGAATTGAGAGTCAAGAGAAGGTGAAAGGTAGAGGGGGCCTATACTCAAATCTAGAGTACTCAGATTTTAGGAACAACTCAAACATTTTAAGTAGAAAAATGGTTATAATTCTATTTTTAGAAAGACCAATTATGTGACAGTGTAAAGGAACTAGGATGGTGTTTGATGAGAGTGAGATGAACAAGAGATTATTAATAATGTTAATCATGAGAGATGAAAAATTAAACTAGACAGAACATGGTGCCTGAATGGACTGGGAGAAAGGACTGAGGAAAAAGGTAGGTAAACTGGTGCTGGAAGCTACCCATTGTCTCCAGTGGTCGGCAAACTCCTTAGTCAACAGAGCCAAATATCAACAGTACTTCTTCAAAATAGACTCGTGTGGGGAGCTGATATAGGGTTAAGCCTCGGACTGACCTGTGGGCAAAGTCACAAACAAGTCCCAGCTTAGAGGGCACAGTCCTCTTAAGCATAATTAGGCTTGACCTTATGAAGCTCCCTAGATCTCACTCGGGAAGCTAATGGGCTGAGGGAAGTGCAACAAGAACAAAAACAAGTGAAACTCACAAGAACAGTGTAAACAAGTGAAACTTATAAGAACTGTGTAACTATGGAAACCACTACCTTGTTTACCTCTCACTATAAAATAAAGGCTCAGCTTGCCTCGGGATCTTTTTCTGTGGCCTCAGCCAGGCACAGGGAAGATCCACGGAGACTAAGGAAAGCTAGAGAGTTCTGAACGCTGTCTCTGTGTAAAACATTCTTCGCCGACTCCGTCCACACCTTTGGGACCCCCTGAACCCCCTGGGGCTGGACCCCAGCAGACTCGCCCAGGCTGAAAACCGACTTCTGCGCATGGGCCACGAAGTTTCAATCGCACTGTGCGTGTGCCCGCACGTGGTATTTTGTGAAAGAGCCACACTCAAGGGGCCAAAGAGCCGCAGTTTGCCGACCACTGGCTACACTATCACGCAAGTGCAGCAGGGAACACAGAAGGCTGATGACCTTGGGTTTTAGCAAGGGCTAAAAGCTATACATCGATTGTTCTGTCGTGGGGAGGGGGCTCAAGGCAATCCCCTAACCTGATAAACTTTTACTGTTTACCAAACCTTACCTTCTATATGCGTGTTTGCTTTGCTAAAGGGCAAATGTGTATTCTAGTAAATTAAAAGCTATGGGTCCCGAGATTCAGGGAACCTCCCTGCTGGAGGCCTGGCTCCCCCCATGCCTTCTAAATTTATATTTCTTGTCTAGTGTATCCATTTATGCGCAGCCCCTTCTCAGATCCTGAATCCTCACTGCAAAAGGTTGTAGCAAGCGGGTTCCCAGGTTCCCAGTTTGAGTTGGGCTATGCTACCAAGATAGGAGGAAGGAAGCCTCTACACTTTAGGCTTTGAGGAGCAACTTAGTACTTGTATTCAAACATTTATTCAACAAATAGAGTGCTCACTGTAGCAAAGCCCTATGCTAGATGCAAAGAATGGTGAATAAGACAGACTTGGCTCCAGGAGGAAGTAACCACTGATGTGGTGAAAATAGCAAGACACTTAGAATTAGAAGTGGTGCCTGAAGGTGTGACTGAACTGCTGCAATCTCATGATATAACTTTAATGGATGACCAGTTGCTTCTTATGGATGAGCAAAGAAAGTGGTTTTCTCGAGATGGAACCTACTTCTGATGAAGAAGCTATGAAGAATATCGAAATAAAAACAAAGGACTTAGAATATTATGTAAACTTAGTTGATAAGTAGTGGCAGGATTGACTCCAATTTTGAAAGAAGTTCTATTTTGGGTAAAATACTACCAAACAAAATCACATGCTATACAGAAATTGTTCTTGAAAGGAAGAGTCAATCAATGCAACAAATGTCACTATTGCTTTACTTTAAGAAACTGCCACAGCGACCCAACCCTTAGCAAACACCAACCTGATCAATCAGCAACCATCAACATGGAGGCAAGACCCTTCACAAGCAAAGATGATAGCATTTTTTAGCAATAAAGTATTTTTAATTAAGGTGTATAATTGTTTTTCTTTAGATATAATACTATTGCACACTTAATATACTACGTTATAGTGTAAACATAACTTTAGTATGCACTGGGAAACCAAAATATTGGTGTGACTCACTTTACTGAGATATCCACTTCATGGTGATGGTCTGGAACAGAACCTGCAATATCTCCAAGGTATGCATGTATTATGCAGCCATAAAAATGAACGAAGTAATGACCGATGCTACAACATTGATGAACCTTGACAATATTAAGCTGAGTGAAAGAAGCCAGATGCAAAAAGCCACCTACTGCATGATTCCATTTATATCAAATGTACAGAATAGGCAAATCCATGGAGGTAGAAAGTAGATTAGTGGTGGTTTAGGGTTGGGGGGAATGGGTTTAAAAGGTTTTAAGTAATGACAAGGTTCTAAAATTGTAATGATGGCTGCACAAATCTGTGAATACACTAAAGAAAATCACTGAATTGTAAACTTTAAATGGGTGAATTATATGGTACATGAATTACATCTAAATAATTCACTACAATTTTTTTCATTAAGGAAAAATCGTAACATGGCAAATTAAACATAGCCCTTTGTACACCTCACTATAATGGGAGGCAAAGGAAAATTATTTAAAGGCTCATGCTCACAATCAAAAGACAAGACTACAGCAACTGCATGTCAGCAGCTACAGAGCAGAGAGCTCAGTGGTAACTTGACTGAGTTGTCTGCTATCTTCACTCAGCTAAGCCAATAGTAGGGGGCAAGCCTAGAAAAGCAAGACAATTTCACCAAGGGATCCCAGAGATACTCAGACTCAGCCTCCACACAAATAAAATGGGAATAATTTCTCTATTTCCCACCAGATTATGGTGGAACAAAAGAGGAACTGCATGTGAAAGTGCTTTCCAACTTGTAAAGAGTGTTATAATACATGACCAAGGGACCTTATCATTACCTTGCCAAGTCATCACCCCAAGGAATCGATCAGCTAATTCCTGAGGGAAATGCCAATGCTCAGGAAGGCATAGTGTTCCATCAGATCTTTCAGAACACAATTTCTCCAGGTTAGTAATCAGGACATTCAGGCAGATGTCGACCAAAGAGTAGGGAGAGGCCTCCTCCTAGCAAACAAACCCCCAAACAAATTTTGTTAGAATACACATACAAAAACTCAACATAAAAGTGGTCTGCCATACATCAAACTACTTGCTGAGTATATCTAAAAGTACACTCTCCTTACTCTAATAATAATTTATAAGTAATGAAACTATCTTTTTCCAACTGTTAGCTGAATAGAAGATGTCATCTGTTGTAGCTTCTGTTATATCTTGAAAAATAAGTTACCTCACTCTGGCCAGTTGCTTCGTTGGTTACAGCATTGTCCCAATATCCCAAGGTTATGGGTTCAATCCCCATCAGGGCACATATACAAGAATTAACCAATGAAGGCATAAATAAGTGAAATAACAAATTTATGTTTCTTTCTCTCTCTCACCTTTCCCCTCTCTCTCTAAAGTCAATTTAAAAAAAAAAAAAAAAACTCAGCAAACAAAGAATAGAAGAAAACTTCTTTGACAAAGAGCATCTATGGAAAAACCTACAGTAAGTATCATGCTTAAAGGTGAAAAGATCTAGAATACAAAGATGTCTACCCTCACCACTTCTCTAACACTCTACAAAAGGACCTAGAAAAAGGATATAAAAATCACAGACTGAAAGGGAATAAGTAAAGCTATCTTTACTTATGGATGACACAATTTTAAGAAAATCTTAAGAAATCTTACAAAAACACAACTAGAAAAAGTAACTTTAGCAAGGTTGTAGGATATAAGATCAATATAAAAAGTTTGTAAAACTTTTTAAGGTTTGTTTTATTGATATTAGAAAGGAAGGGAGAGAGATAGAAACATTGATGAGAGAGAAACATCAGCTGCCTCCTGCAGGCCCCCTACTGAGGATCCCACAACCTCAGGGCACAACCTGGGCATGTGCCTTGACAGGAAATTGAACCTGTAGTGCATGGGATGATGCTCAACCAACTGAGCCATACCGGCCAGGGCTAAAGTTTTATAAACTTTAAAAAAATATTTACAGTAGTATCAAAAGCAGAGGTAGAATTAATAAAATATGTAATGAAAAGACCTTTACACCAAAACTACAAAACATTGTTAAATAAAATTAAAGGTGTCATAAATAAATGGAGAAATGTATATATCACAGGTGAAAATGTATTCATGCATTGTGTAAATTTAAAAATTAGTTAAATAGAAAATGTGCGTGTGACACTGTGCCAGTACTTACTTAAAAACCCAGTTTCTCAGCTACAACACAAACTTACAAATTATGTACCAGCGTTTAAAAGTAAGTCCAAAAGAGTACTACAGGAGTAAGGATCTTTGCAGGGCACAAAAGCCCTCCAACAAGGCGCTAGTAGGTACTAGTAAAGTACAACATCAATCAAAATATTTTCTTCAGGCCCTAGCTGGTTTGGCTCAGTGGGTAGCGCACCCGCCTGCAGACTGAAAGGTCCTGGATTCTATTCTGGTCAAGGGCACATGCCTGGGTTGCCAGCCCGATCCCCAGTAGGGGGCGTGCAGGAGGCAGCCGATCAATGGTTCTCTCTCATCATTGATGTTTCTATCTCCCTTTCCCTTCCTCTCTAAAATCAATAAAAATGTATTTTAAAAAATATATTTCCTTCTTTCTGTACCAATTTAGGGTTGCGCCTACGCTGGACTTTGAGTTCTCAGAGGGTGGTCCCTGGGCTGTCTGTTGTGGAATGCGGAGTCTGATAGAACCTGATATCAAGTTCAAGTTCAAAGGCGAATCAACTTTCCGGATTCTCAGCTCCCCCACCCACCAGTAATATGGAAACTACAATACTTACCGCCCCCCACCCCCCAAAAAAAGCACAATCGGATTTACTTTAGAAATGCGATACGACTTAACGCACCAGCAGGCGCCCAATAATCTGGGTTTGCAGTTTGCTCAGAGTTGAGCGTAAAAGGCACTCCATCCATGTTTATAAAACACGTGGAAGTGAAGGAATTCCAGTCTTTGGGCTTCCAGTTCCCCAGCCGGGCTCAGGAGGGTCAAGGACTCAGGGAGTAGGGACCGTGGGGTCACAGCCTCCGGGGGTACGGCTTCCAGGGCGCACGCGGGGAAGCCGTCGAGATTTGGGGCATTTGGGTTCACGGCGACAATAAGCACCCAGGCCCAGCGCTGCGCCCAGCATCACGTCTGGCCTTCACCACCCGGTCCAACAGCCGCCACCGCAAAGATGAGTCCGAGGCCAGAGGAGGGGACCCGCCAAGGTCAGGCGGGGGCGGGGCTGGCTCTCGCGGCAACTCCTCAGCTGCGCAAGGTCGCCGCGCTCTGCCGGAGGCCCGGACGCGGCGGATCCACCACCCCTTCCCCCTGCGCGTCCCCAGCGACGGCGGGCGTCCGGCAGGCGCTCGGCCCCTTCAGCCTTTACCCCCGCGTCGGCCCCACGAACCACCCAGTGCCTGCGCACGGCCCCCGACGACTCGCCGCGCTCTCCCCGCACCGGCGCCGAGTCCCGCCGAGGTCCCTGTGCGCGCTCACCTGCACCACGCAGTGGCCCGGGGCATCCCTCTGCGCGTCCGGGCGGGCGATGGTCCGGGGCGAGAGGTCCGGGTGCAAGAAGTGGACCATGGCAACCCCCGCCGGCGGGGCGTGAAGAGAGAGCGGGCGTCGAGCTGGGGCCCGAATCCCGCAAGAGCTGGAGCCGACGGCTCCGGAGGCTGCAGACCAGCGTCGCGCGCAGCGCTCTCGCCGCTGTCCCGGCAGCAAAGCTTTTGAAACGCCCGGCGCAGCGGCGCGCACGCGCACGCGCACGCGGCCGCACTGCCTCCCCCG